GCTAGTTTTGAATGCGAAATGCGAAATAGTCGTGTTCACGTCAGTTATTGTTTTGTGATAAACAAAATATTGTTCACCTTGTCGCTTATATTTATATGCTTACAAGTAATTAAGAAATATCTCACTAAATTTCAACACTGAAAAAGTAGCCGAGACCGCCTTACGCCTCCCATGATTTTGAACAACTTTGGCTTGATTTCCAAGAACTTGGGCGATATTTCCCAGTCCCAGGGATTCTAAATTAACGCGTGATTGCTTTGGTTTTCAGTGAGTTCGCCAGGGGGAGAAATAATTGCACGCTCGGTTTCGAGCTTACTGGCCGAAATATAGCCCCACTTAATTTTAACACTGAAAAAGTAGCCAAGACCGCCTTACGCGCACCTTGGTTTTTACCAACTCTGGCTTGATTTCCAGGCACTCTGACCATATTTCCCAGTCCCCAGAACTCTAAAGTAACTCGTGATGGCCTTGGTTTGCTGAGAAATGGACAGGGGAAAAATAATTGCACGCTCGGTTTCGAGCTTGCCGCCCGAAATATAGCCCCACTTAATTTTAGTACTGAAAACTTGGCCGAAACCGGCTTACGCACACCTTGATTTTGACCAACTTAGGCTTGATTCCCAAGAACTTGGGCGATATTTCCCAGTCCCAGGGACTCTAAAGTAACTCGTGATGGCCTTGGTTTTCAGTGAAATCGCCAGGGGAGAAATATTTGCACGTTCGGTTTGGAGCTTACTGGCCGAAATATAGCACCACTTCTTTTGAACACTAAAAAAGTATCCGGGACCGTCTTACGCACACCTTGATTTTGACCCACTTAGGCTTGATTTCCAAGAACTTGGGCGATATTTCCCAGTTCTAAGGACTCTAAACTAACTCGTGATGGCCTTCGTTTTCAGTGAAATCGCCAGGGGACAGATAATTGCACGCTCGTTTTCGAGCTTGCTGACCGAAATATAGCCCCACTTTATTTCAACACTGAAAAAGTAGCCGAGACCGGCTTACGCGCACCTTGGTTTTGACCAACTTAGGCTTGATTTCCAAGAACTTGTACGATAATCTAGTCATGTATATTTTAATAATAACAATAAAAATAGTAATAATAGTACTGATACTAATAATACTAATAATTTTATTTGTAAAACAAACGGTTTTTACCATCACTCGATCACTCATAACTCTGATCCATATTGAACCGTCTAAATGGAAAGTTTGGACTAAATTCCTGACTACCTTGAGTATCGGTGCAAGTATAACAAGTAAAGTAATCGAAATAACATTTTGTTTTGAGCACTTGTTTAGCGTGCTGTCTTTCTGTGTACACCATCTTGTAAACACAAAGCTTGGAAGCCCTGTATTCAAGGTGTTGCAAAAGATTGGGGACAAAAATTTTGTTCCAGGTCTCTTGCGAAAAAATTGTGGCAGGCTTAATGAAAATCAGCCCAGAGACCGTTTTCTTTGCTAAAACCCTGAAAATGTGTATAAAAATCACATTTACAAATACAATTTTTAAAACTGCTCAATGATGGTAGGGTCCTATAACTAATTTCACCTGACATAAACCAGGTATGAAATGCGCGCTGCTCATCAGTAACATACCACCCAGGTATAAAATTCCACCGCCTAGTAGACTGACTATTCATCACAAGATCAAAGTGTTTGCTACTCTGTAACATACCAATAAGACATAAAAACAAAGTGTATTATCCTGCAAGGTGACTTGATGAAACACAAAATCAATAAGTGTGCTACTAAGCAAGGCAGTTATTAAACCAAAATAAAAATTTGCAGTTCACTGAAATGAACTAGTCAAACATAAAAACAAAGGGTATGCTACCAGGTAAGCTGACTATTAAACACAAAATCAAAGTGTAGACTACGACCACACTGTAAAGTACCTGCATTAACGGGTAAAAACAAAGCTGATTACACTACAAGTCTGTAAAGTGACTTTTAAACTCTTAAAAAATATGCATATATGGGAAAATGTTCATAGCAACACTGTACCCATGTTTTAACATGGAAAAACTACGATATACAAATATATCTGCTGGTGTTCTAGACGACTTTCAACTGCTTTGGTTTTTCAAGTTAACTTCTCCTGGTAAAAAAGAAATGGATTTTCCGTGGCCCAAATGCAATTTTCACTTCAGTAGAAATAGGCCTGCTTTCATCCAACTTCAGTGAGAAGTTTTTCAATATCAGTGCAATTACAGCTTTCATCTCCACCACAGCAAAAGGCTGACCAGCACAACGTCTGTTTCCACCACCAAAGGGGAGAAATGAGAAGGTTCGCGCTGCCATTTTGTCTTCCCAGCGTGTCGGATCAAACTCTTCCGGTCTATCCCAAAGATCCTCCAGGTGATGAAGAACATAAGAGTCCAGAAATAATACAGAGCCCTTAGGAATGTGAAATCCTTCAAAACAGAGAAAGAAACTTTTTTAAATAATATTAAACATAATTTCATCTGTGCAATTTACAGTGCCTTAATTAAAATACTATTAGTTACTTGAATTCTAAAATAATAATTATTTTAGAGTTCAAGTAACTAATATTAGTCATTAATTATTAATATTATTATATTATTAGTTATCAGTCACTAACTATTTATAACTGGTCTATTGTAGAATTTCTTTCCTCATGATAACCTTAGTGATAATGATGGACATGATGACAGCACTGACAGGGATGAGGACCAGGATGACTGGAAGGACAGGATGGAAAACAAGGAGGGTGAGAAGGAGCAGGAGGCACAGGAGGAAGACGACGGAAATAAGGATGATGAGGGAGACAAGGAGGCAGTCAAGTCATTGACAATTTACTGGTGATTAGCTTTTATATTGCACTTTACATAAAATATAATTGAAGGGCTGTGAGGTCAACAGTAATAAGCTACGTATATTTTTTATGTTTTTTTTGCCCATATCAACTTTTCTTTGTTTTCTGTTTGAGGCATTGAATTCATACCATACCTATTTTGTTGTTGTTTGGCTTTCGTTTTGAAGAAAACAAATGAAATGCTCTTTGTCACGTTGTATGCAAAAATGGATCCATTTGGCCTTACTAAGAAGTCTATATTAATACAGTCTACATTCAAGCCTACAGGCATATCTACAGGTACTCACTTATCTCGGGGTGCTGTAACATGAAGTGCCTAAGATTATTTCTACTCATTACAGAATCGTGCCCACTGAAAAATGTTGCATGGGAAAATGCAAATTAGCAAAAAAGAAGACAGAGAGCATGCCTAAGGCCTGTCAATCAAGTAATCCCTAGTGTCGCCCGTTTGACAATGTTGTTCTAGTTCTGGGTAATCAAATTTTGCCCTATTCATCAGAGAAGAACAGAAGTAATTAGACAGTGTGTTTCAAAGAATATTTACGATGCCAGTAAGCGGAGATGTCAGATAATATTTCAATGTTCTAGGGAAAACATTCTCACCTTCGCTACATACTTCTACTCTTAATTTGTGAATTGATATTTTAAATCACGTGTGCTTCATTACAAAATCTTCTGGAAAGTTTTAAAGTAAATCAATTGATTCAATTGAGTAAAGCGTGTCTTTTGAAGTTTGAAACTCACTTTCACACAAAATATATATGTAAGGTATAACTTCTTTGCTTAGTGTATTTTTGCCTCGTGGCTCACTGTCAGTTGCAAAGAAATTGATGTGACTTTACGTTTACTTTTCAAAAGCAGGCCTCAAGCGCGTTCAATCGGCAAGTTTTAAGGGCAAAAAATGTTTCCATAACAATGTCTGCCCTTCACACAGATTAGTACTTAAAGAAAAATTAAGACTAACTGGAAAGTTTTACTTTAAAACACAAAGAGATGACTGGATTTTCCCATGGGGTACACTGCTTGGCACTTTGATATTTTGCCGTAAAAGATAACTTGTGTGATTTCTGTAAACACCCAACATTCTGTTGATATGCATAAGTCAGGCCTTTTCAGATGAAAAGTGCATTTAAACACTTTCAAACAACACAAATTGCTCCAACTGTATAAGTATTGTATTGAAGTATGCCACGGGAGAACTTTAATTTCCTTTTTGGAATTTGTCACTTAAGGATCCTAAGTGACCGAAACCGGCAGTAACCTTTTTTTGAACCTTGTTGACAGGTCACTCTGCCTGTAAAGCATCGTGGGTACCCCACTTTTCCCAGGCAATCCTTTTCAATGGGTGCGATTCTGTAATGTCTCCCAGATAAGATACTAGTTCATCACAAGGTTAAGAACACAACATAATGACCTCAGCAATGACTCGTACCTGACTCAATCTAAAGTTCATTGCACTAACTATTACAACACAGTATGCCTCTGCAACAGTACAACAGAAATCCTTTTCCAATTACAAACAATATTTTCAGCCACACATGCCTTTCTTTGTACTATACAGTAGAAGTGCTGTTACCTCCCAACTCTGCATCTTCAACAGCTCCTCTGCTGAAACCAGTTATAACAGGAACAAGTCGCTGAGACTCCTTTATACAATTTGCCACATACTTGAGTTCTTTTTCCATCGCTGAAGTCACAACACTTGAATCACCCAGTACTCTGTCAACCTCTTCCTGTGCTGTCACCTGAATTTCAGGATGTTGGGCTAAAAACAAATCAGACTAGCAAGGTCATAATAAGCAGCCACTTTAATTGATCAGCCTGGAACACAAAACACTGTTACACTGCCATAAATAGAGCCATACATGTAACTATCCCTAAAATTTGCTGTTCTAACAGGACCATGAAACTGCCCATTGAAAATTCTGAGGGGGTGGAATACATTAAAAGGCAAAATGTTTTAAGGAAAATATCAAAGCTTCTGGCTGCCATCAGCTGATTAAATTTCACAAAATCCACAACGTGCAACCAAAGGCACTGCTGTCGCCAACTTACAAAATGGTACAAAAACAGAAAATTAACTTGCCAACATGCAAAGGGTCTGGAAAAAAGAACTAATCTTGCCAACATGCTAAGGTACATGTTAAAGAACTGTTTGTACTAATAACTACCAAACTACAAACTCACAAACAAAAACTTAAAACATGTGTGACTCCCTAGGGAAAATGTCAAGTAATGTGATGTGTCACTTAAACAGGATATGAATCAACCAGAAGCAAAACAGTTGCCACAAAACTAAACTGGAATTTCTGGAGGGATGGAGGAGGAGATTAAAAAAAGGCCTTTGGTGGGGGTTTGAGATTTTTTCTGAAACAACACATGTTCCTTTTTTATTTTACTTCCAATAATAATTAGCTAATTACACACAAGGAATGGAAACAAAATGCATGGATTAGGCACCATACCGACATAGCTCCCTACACACATTGCATACCTACAGCATGAAGCATGCAGACCTGCCTGCTATGCATGTTAAGATGCAATAGGCTCAAAATGCATGCCAAGTATTATCATTCTACACTCACCCAGGTGGTATAGCACCCAACAGAGCTGTGATGTGGTGGTCTCAAATCCACCAAACAAAAATGTCAATATTTCATCATGGACTTCCATTTCAGACATTGAGTACTTGGACTCTGGGTCTTGTGCTTTCAACAACAATGTCAGTAAGTCTTTCTTGTCATCCTCATCATCTTTACCTTTGCGCTTATTAATAATCTGCTCAACAAGGTTGTCAAGTAGCTTACGCTGCTGACGGGCCTGAAATGCTTTGAAAGGATGCATCCAAGTCCATAATCTTGGGAGTGCCAAGAATGCAACTTCACCAGCATGCTCCAAGAATGACGTCACAGCCTACGGAGGTAGGAAGGTAAATCATACCATCATCTGTCTAGATAAGATAAGAATGTAGCTGACATGACAAGTATAGCCTCCTGGTACTATGTTCAGGTTGTGACTGACAATATGTCTGCACTAGTTTTCATTTTATGTACCCCAAGCTACCTGGCCATGGTTGAAGATGGACTCTTTCAAGAGAGTAAACATTAATTGTGTACTGGCAAGATGACAACCACTTGTGACATTGGCTACGATTATCCTGGATCTCATGATGCAATGCACTCTGTTACATTGAACCTAATGCCCCAGTAATATCTCTCCAGTGCCTGACAACCCTCCCTGAGTTACCCTGGGCTGGAGGGGGGGGGGTACTTTGGGAATTTCTGGGTGGGGATGTG